GTAGTCCTTTCCCCTTTCTCTTGTTCCTTCCCAGAAGATACAACATTAGCTATATTTTTTGGTACATCTGAACCCAGAACAATGGCTATTCTTTTCTAAGAGAATCTGAAGAAGCCAACTTTAGTCAAAGGCTTCAGATTCTAGTCTGAATAGAAACCTGCCAAGTTCACAAATCACAGTCCTCACATGAATACATTAGCAAAACATTACACCAAAAGTATAAATATGATCATATATGCTATATAAAGTATTATGTGAACAGATTTAACCAACAAAGCTAAGAAATACACAGGAAGTATGGGTAGATCTCGTTTGCCAATGATTTGTATTCTACTAATGGAGAATAAGGAATGAATAAAATCCAATTATAAAGTTTTTAGAACATTCACTTTAGGTGAGACCTTTGATTTCATGGATTTCCTTTAAATTAAGCAATACAATAAAGGTTCTTATTCTTGATGTTGTATATCATAGTGAAACTATATGTTTCAAGGTCTCACTAGATCAGAGAGATCTGTTTAGCAAATATTAAGCAATTTCAGTGTAAAGGAAGATATTAAGACATAGAAGAGATTGTCATGTTATTCTAAAAAATAGCAAAATTGCTATCTACCTTAGTAACTAATTTGCAACTTGTTCATTAACAGCTGCTATGTTTTCCTCAAAATTTTAACAGAAAAATATCAAAACCAAAATTTGTAAAAATAGAGAAGCAATCTGAAAAAAACTCTAGCACAGGTGACTGAGGCAAACAGCCTACTTTCACTTGTTCATTTGAGCTCCAAATTTGCATCATTCTGTGGAGTAAACATTGTAATACCAAGTTCTCTATAAGACTACAATTCACCAGACAAATGTTTGAAATTCTACCAAGTCAAGGATACCTACTGGCAAGTTTGAGCTTTTCACTTCATGATGCACAAACTAACACATTAAATACTTCAGTTTCATTTTCTAAACCCATTTAGCGATTCTCCTAAAATGACCTATCACATGGGCAATGGTCACTCGGAAGGATTTCAGTATTGCAGGCTGACTCTGTCCACAGGTAGGAAAAGTTCTATCCTGCCCAACTGAAGGTTGACTCAGCCTTCCATCCTTCCAAGATTGGTAAAATGAGGACCCAGATTGTTGGGGAAAATATGCTCTGTAAACCATTCAGAGCATGCTGTAAAGCGCTATGGAGCAATATATAAGTGCTATTGGTATTGCTCCTTTGACTGCTTTCATGATTAAGAAATATTCAGATCTAATATATGAAATGAGATGGCAAAGTTATTACACATTACTCTAAACTTTGCCAACTACACATTACGAATAGATTTAATCTATTTTGACAGAAACAACTTTCAGAATCACAGGGACACTAAAGATATTATTTTTATATAAACGATTTATCAAACAGTATCACAAGCCATCAATGTTTAAAAACAATTTCAAAATGTAAATTGTAAGTTATGTAAATTGATCCAAATGACAAATCATCTGGATTACTTCATGAAAAATATAGGTAGTCCTCAATTTACAATAATTCATTTAGTGATTTTTGTTCCAAGTCACAACAGCACTGAAAAAAGTGATTAATGATTGTTTTTCACATTACGACCGTTGCAGCATCCCCATGGTCATGTGATCCCCTATTGTGACCTTCCGACAAGCAAAGTCAATGAGGAAGCCAGATTCACTTAACAACCATGTTACTAACTTAATAACTGCAGTGATTCACATAACAATTATGACAAGAAAAGTCATAAAAAGGGGGCAAAATTCACTTAACAGCTGTCTTGCTTAGCAACAGAAATGTGGTCAAGGTCAAGGACTACCTGTAGTCTTTGGTGGATGATGTCTAAAACAAAAAATTGCCCACCGTATTTGATGTCGACTAAATTCATGTTTGTTAAATTGAGGGTCTATTTGTATATTTTACTAGAATTTTCCATAATCTAATAATAAATCATTATAAAAACCATACATGTATTTGGGTTCAATATAAAAAAACCTACTTTTTATTCTTTTTTTTTCATTTTTTCCCTATTTTTCCCTGCATATTTAGGATTTTCTTTTTTGGATCAGCCAAATCCATTGGTGGTGACAGGGACTGACCAATGGGCTTGTTGCCTAAGCCTGATATCACGGACTGAAAAGAGATTGACTGGCCAAAAATCATCTAGCTGGGTTTTTTGCCTAAGATAAGACTAGAACTCATGGGTTTCTGATCTGGAGTCTTAACCACTAGACCAAACCGACTCTTATCAAACATCTACATCAATATTTTACTTCTGTCAAGTAATATTTATGATTTAAAACTCTAGAGGAAATGATATGTAGAAACTTTTTTTTTTAAATGCCTAAATAAAGGTGCTGGCTAAACTGCTTCTCTGAAAACGAATGTTGAAAATTTAGATGAAGTGCTATAAAAATATAAATTCTTTAATATGTGAACCCCTGAATATCTGAAAAACAAACAATATAGCATAATTATATACATATTAGTTACGTTTCAGTGACTGCAAACAGCTTATTCTGTACTCAAAGATATAAATGCTATAGCTGAAAACAGAAATAAACCACCTGCCTATTGAGACTGGAAATCATTGAATACTAATTTTAATTCAGACACTATAGCTTCATAGTAAGAAAATTAAATGTTCTCAAATACTAGTTGCTATAAGTTATATTACAACATTTGCACCCTGAGAGTTTTCTAAACTAGAATAGACAAGAAAAGCTGCCCAGAAAATCCTACACATTGTATCCATTGATGTTCTTTGGGAGGGGAGGAGACTTACACTTAATTTAGGAGCAATAGATTCCAGACACATATCTCTCTTCAACTCAATAAAAAGAATTGTCAATGCTCTGTTTATCCATGACTTCCTGTACACAATAATTTACCTGTCAGCATATACAGATGTTCTCTGAATCAGAACCATAGTATATTTTAAATAAAACAAAAACATACTTAAAAATCTTGTGAAATAGCTCCCAGAAAAGAAATGCAAATTTCACAAATATATGTGAAATATATTTCTAATTTACTTCTGATCAACTATGATCTGAAAGTACAACAAACACTTCTATGCTTCATGTCTAGCTTCTTACCAACATGTTTTTCACTGTAGTAATACAGGTAGTCCTTGATTTACAACTAATTGTTTAGTGACAATTCAAAGTTATAACAGCACTGAAAAATGTGACATGACTGTTTTTAAACAGTTATGACAATTGCAGCATCCCTATGATCATGGGATCAAAATTCAGATGCTTGGCAACTGGATCATATTTACGACCGTTGCTATGTCATAAGGACATGTGATCATCTTTTGCAACCTTCTGACAAGCAATGAAGAAACTAGATTTACTTAACAACCAGGTTACTAACTTATAGCTGCAGTGATTCACTTAACAACTGTGGCAAGAAAGGTTGTAAAATGGGGGAAAACTCACTTAACAACTGTCTCATTTAACAGAAATGTTGAGCTCAATTGTGGTCGTAAGTCAAGGACTACCTGTAGCTATTTAACCAGCAGCCACTGTCCTAGCTAACCTAACACAAAATATCCTAGCTAACCTAACAGAAAATATCATACGACAGATTCAAAAGGAAATTCCTAGGTATCAACTCCTAGGTATCATATGAATGGCAATTAATCTGGAAAATAGGGATTTTTTTAAAAAAAATTGTGATTTTAAATATTTTTAATCAGAATTAAGGCCATTGTACATAAACCTACTTAGAAATAATTGCTACAGATCGCAAAGACTAATTTCAAGGGCTATTTCTCAATGTGTATAAGTTTGTATTGTTCATGTATTAAAAACATCATGCATTTCTGCATGTAGTCTCAGCAGGTGGCAGCACCTCTAGACTTGAAAATACAGCAGGATCAGGAATACCATCATGGCTGTAGGCCAGATGGGGAAATGAAAAACAAAAAGCTCAGAAAAAGGCAATTTCAAAGTATTTTAGTATTACTTCCCAGAATATTATATGGACATGTTCATAAAATCACTAAGACTCAACTCTACCTGAATATGAGTTGGGGTTTTTATTTCATCCTATGATTTCAGAAAAGAACTTTCAGAAAAAAATGCTTTATTGTGGAAGAAAAAAATAGAAGAGCTTAAATAGCAGACAGTATTTTCAGCACAGCTATTTAAAAATAAAACATGGTTCCTTCACATCCCCCCCAATGAAAACGTTAATTCTGAGTTTCTTGGCTTATACAGTAGTCCTTAGCCTATAGTACTCTACTTGAATTAAGAACTATTCCAAATTTTATTTTCAAAGAACTGTTGACCATTATGACTCAGCTAAAGTCAAAACATTATTATATGACACATTCATATCTGATAATGAATTGCTAGTCATTCTTCCATTTTCACTAAAAACCAGAGCTAGGCACACTTAAAAAAAAATCCACTCTATTCTTTCATTGCTTAGAGGTTTTGACATGTAATTTTTTTCAAGATTTTGTACTGTTCCCTAAGATACCAGAGTCCGAGGATGAACTGCTTCCCGATTTATTTATTAATAAGGAGAAGCACAGTAGTGCTGGTTTCGTGGCTTCAATGAAAAACATTTGCCGTCCCAAACTAGCTGCCGAGTTCTGACTGTTAAGCTTTCAGATTTGTCAGACCTACTTAACTTTCAACAGAGAGAAAAAAAAGAAGCTTTTTAAAATACACACAAGACTACCGCCTTTCTATGAAGGGACCCCCCCCCCCTAAAAACTATCCTGTCTGTTCCTCTTTACAAACAAATCAGGACGGGTAGAGCACACCTTTCTCTACAGTTAAACCACAAGAGTGCCTCTATTTTTAAAAAAGACACAAGTTTTCCTCACAGGGCATTTTTTTTTGTGGGGGGAGGGGGAGGGGGAGGGTTTGGATATCTAGAGGCTAATCCAGAAGAAGAGGGCTGCGCTCCCGCTTACTCCGCGTTTCCTTACTCCTTTTGAATGCCCCATAAAAAAAGTGGGGGGGGGGAATTATTTCACCTCGCGCCTTGTGAAGGAAAGTCGGGAAGGGCTGGAGAAGAAAAGAAACGGCGGCGGCGGCGGCGACGACTCCGCAGCTGTTGGTTTCCTGGGCGCAAGGCGAACAAAAGAGCTCTTTTCTTGGAACAGCCGGAGTTGGGCGTGCCCGACGTTGTGTGAATCTGCGCACCTTCTCGCTGGTTAAGGACCGATACAAGGCTACGCGAATGCATCAAGAGCCCGGGATGAAGGAGGAGACGGCCTACTCTCCCCCCCCCCCCCCCCCCCCCCCCCTACCAGTGCCCCCGGGGGGGGGGGGGGGGGGGGGGAGGAGGAGAAGGGGGGGGGGGGGTGTCGCCAAGAGAAGAAAAGCACCCCGGCGGACACATAACGCCTCCCTCCATCCTTTCCCACCGGACTCTAGCGAGACCAAAGCCGCTCTTCCCCCAGCCCCACCGCCCGGCCAAACAGGCGCCGGGCTCTCCCGTGGCTACCTCATAAAGGCACCAGCTGTCAAACAACGACGGCAACTCGGTTTTCCAAAAGGTTGTGGCCGCCCGCCCGCCCTTCCTCCCTCCCTAGCCAGGCCGGCCCGGACTCCGCTCGCCTGGGCAGGTTCTCCCAGCCGCAAGCCACAGCACGAACACGACAGCCCCGCTCTTTGCTGATTATTCGTCCGGCCCCAGCCGCAGCCGCAGCAGCAGCCAGCCAAAAACCCCGGACCCTCCGCTTCTCGAGCACCGGGACTCACCCGCCCAGCCGGTCTTCCGCCTCCTGCGTGTGAACGAGCCCCAAAACGGTACGCCACCCGTCGCCGAGACGTTCTCGGGCTCGTTCCGGTGAGGGGCGGGGCAGAGAAGGCCTCGTTCCGGGTGCCGTTCCTTCGCTCCGCCCCTCCGTTCCCACGCCAGCGGGGGCGTCGGGGAGAGGGGCGGGGCCTCAAAAGACGTCTCGGCCAGTCACGTTAATGACGTAGAGACGCAACTATATTAACCTCCTCTCTCTTCTCCCCCGCTCCCCCGCCCTCCAGGAGTAGTAGGACGGTGTTGTTCCAAAGTTGGTAATTGCGCCGCTTCTCGTTTGCGGCGTTAGGCTCGCTCGGAGTGTTCGGTGAAACAGTCAGCATCCCTTTATTAACTAACGAGAGGTTGATGATTTAGCATTGGGAATCGCAGTTGTAAATTCCACTTTATTTTAAGACACCAACCTCATAATCACCCATGGGATCTTTTATTGGGGTAGGCAGGCTTCAAACCAAATTACAACTAAAGCTGAAAATTGCAAGACACAAGAGGTAAAGGCGTTGAATGTGATTTTTAAAGCATTCATTACTGTTGCCTTAGAACTCTGCGCCCCAGGTCAAAACAAAACGATTTTAACTGCTGGAGAAAGAATTCATAAAGTTTTCAACATTTAGGTGGAAATACAGTGTTGTGCATTTGTACGACTAAAATTTTATTATTATCAAAATTACTTGCTACCCATAGCAAACGATCCCAGCTGAGTTGCCTGATCGTCAGAGGCTTTTAAAAGCATTTTTTTCTGCAACTTCTTCCTCTGAAGAGGTGGTAGAAAAAAATGCTTCTAAAAGGAAAAAAAAAAAAAAAAAGGTTGGCCGTGCCCACCCAGTCACATTACTCCCCACCAAGCCATACCCATAGAACCGGTAGTAACAAATTTTACATTTCACCACTGGACTGGGGGAATCAAAAGAGAAACTCGCTAGCAATGTCCTGCTGGAGCAGGGTTGGACTAGACTAGATGACCTCCAGGTCCTTCCAGCCCTGGATTATCCTCTGAAGCTGCGTCTAGTGCCAAGTTTGTAGTCCTTCCTTCCTCTCCTTTTTCCTTCCCTCCCTCCCTCCTTCCCTTTCTTTCCTTCCTTCCTTCCTTCCTTCCTTCCTTCCTTCCTTCCTTCTTTTTTTTTTTTTTCTTCCTTCCTTCCTTCCTTCCTTCCTTCCTTTCTTTTTCTTTCTAAAACGGACCTCTCCATTTTTGGCCGAATACCCCCCCCCCCCATTTTTGGCCTAGCAAGTTTCAGGGAAGCCTGCTGAGAGCAAAAATGGACCCCCCCCCCCCCCCCCCCTTAAAAAAAAAGGTTCCAACGATCACATGTCACAACTGTGATTTTTTACTACTCGCTCGGGTGAATAGGTAGTAAAAAGATGCTTTAAAAAAGTAAAAAACGAAGGCTCCTGTGATCATGCGGCACAACTGTGATCGTCGGAGCCTTCTTTTTTAAAGCATTTTTACTACCTATTTGCCTGAACCAGTAGTATTGTATGCATTGTAAGCTGCCCTGAGTCTTCAGAAAAGGGCGACATATAAATCGAACCAATAAATAAATAAATAAATAAATAGTAAAAAAATGCCTAAAAAGAAAAAAAAAAAAAAAAAAAAAGTTCCGACGATCAGCTGAGCGACCCCTGATCGCCGGAACTTTTTTTTTTTACTTTTTAAAGCATTTTTAACTACTGGTTCTGGAGAACCGGTAGGAAAAAAATGCTAAAAAAGTAAAAAAAAAAAAAAAAAAATCCAACAATTGTGGGTCGCTCAGCTGATCGTCGGAACTTTTTTAAAAACATGTTTTACTACCAGTTCAGGTGAACCAGACCGAACTGGTAGCATTTCACCCCTCGTATCTGGTGATTTACAAGAGAGGCTACACATGCACAGAAATAATCTTATATTTCACTTTTGGGTTAGAAATAATAGCGCATACCTGTTATCCTGTAATGTTGGAGCAATGAGTTTTACTCCCTAAATGTAAATAACCTAAGCCCATCTGTACTTTCCATCAATTTTTTCCAGCACAGTAATCAATGGTATTTTGATGCAATACACAAAAACCTGTCCTATAAGCCCCAAAATAGGTGTGACAGTTAAAACTTTAAAATTCCCAACTCTACAAAAACTGCAGTTTCTTTAAAACATCCTTGGTTTCACCCATGTAGGTGATGCTTTATAGATAAACTGCACACCTCATGAATGGTATCTCCATATGTTCTTAGAAGTTTAGACTCTTTTTTGATATTGTTGCTGTTCTCAAAATACTTAGAAAAGACCAGAATTATGTTTATATGATTTCACCTTTTTCAAAATTAAGTAACAAAACAATTACTCTTTAACTCCATGTATAATTAAATGCTTATAGGACTCTGAAGATCTTCAGAGCACTTCATAGGATTTATGTGTTTTTCTTTTAGCCAGGTTTTTCCTACGTAACCAGGTCCTTCTGCAGCCCTAGCTCAGTGGAATCACATCCACTCGATTCTGGGCTTTTTTTCTTTCTGGCAGCCAGCAAGCTCTTTCTGCCAGTCTCCCACCAGGCAGCAAGAGCTTGCTGGCTGCCAGAAAGAAAAAAAGAAAAATATGCTTTTAAAATGAACATTAATAAAGCAGTTAGCCTATTTATCATTGTGCAATGTAATTTGGGGGTGCTGAAATGTGACTTTTTTTCAAGATCAGACATACTAAAATGAGGGCAGGCATTCTTAATGATCCATTGTTATAGATAGATTAGAAGGGCAGAACAAAGTGAATGTCTTCTCTTTCTGTCTTCTCTTTTACATCCTTTTGCTTTTTACTTCACAAGCAACAAAAGACCAAGAAAAGGAAAAATATAGTTGCCAGGAATCTGAATTGTTGGCCCAAGGAATGCTAGCCCTTTGGCATTATGTGGCATTATAACTCTGGGTTGCCCATCTAAACTTGACAAGTTTAAAATGTGTGGACTTCAATTCCCATAACTCTTTGGCTAATACTGAGGCCCATAGAACTTAAAGTTGTCATGTTTGAAAAACACTATTATAGCATTATTTGCCTAAAATAGCCTCTGTTTTTTCATGGTTGCATAGTAGCTCAAGCTTTCCCAAATACTACATTTGCCTAGGAAGTAGATCTCAATCTATTCCCCACCCAATCCCATAATACATATAAAACAAGGAAAACTGATTATGACCACTCACAAGGTGAAAGTACAGTCAAATTCAAAACATTAATTTTTATTTATTTTTATCCCATCATTAGTATTCTTATAATTAACTCAAGGCGACAAACATATCTAAACTTTTTCCTCCTATTTTCTTCACAAGAACAACCCTGTGAGATGGCTTGGGCTGACAGAGAGAATGACTGGGCCAAAGTCAGCCAGACAGCTTTCAATCCTATGGCTGGATTAGAAATCAGTCTCCCAGTTTGTAGCCTGATTCCTTAAACACTAGATCAAACTGGTTATTTCAAAAGGAATAGATTTATCTGGCTGAAATAATGTTAATGTACTTTAACTGATTTTTGCCTTTACTAGTAGCTTCATGGAATCTAGATCAGTTCAATTCTTACATACTAAATTCTCTTGAATGTCACTGAGCCATTAGCTTGAACGTCTAATTTATATTCTATGCAGCATCATTAGCCTTCACGTCTTAAAAAAAGATGTTACCACTTCCAATGGAATGCACACACACACACACACACACACAAATAAAATTATCAAAATGAATAGCTAATCTGAACTGTCACATTTCTATCTTGTGGAAGATGAGATTTTGCCATTGAAATATAAAAGAAAGAATGCACTAATGACCAGGAGGGAGACATAGAAAAACAAAATGTCAATAAGAAATTGTTTTTAAAAATCTCACTAATTCTGCCACTTAAAAAAAAATCATGGAAAAAAATTGAGCTGTTATTCAAATGATGGCACAATTGAAAGAAATTGAACTGCTTTCTGCCCTAATTAGCAACCTGACTTGAGTGCAGATTGAAGGTTATAAGCAGTCTTGCTAAAGAAGATTCTTCATAAAAAGCATGCCTTAATAAAATTAGAATTCTCTGAACAGACATGGTAGGCATTTAAAAAGGACTGAGATAGGACATAAGAGGCTGGGCTAATGATGATGATCTAATTGCACAGTAAAAATATTGGCATGGGAAAGTGTAGCCCAGTCTTTTTTTGGAGAAAAAAAGCTGCAATATAAGATTTAGACTATTTGGTTGGTTTTGTGGGGTGAGGGATAGTATGCGTGTGCGAAGGAAAATAAAACTTGACTAATGCTGAAATGAAGAATTCTGGAATATATTTGTGGCAGGAAGTGTTCTTTCTAGAATACTAAGCACAAGGAAAAAGAGGGAGGGAGGGATTTTTCAAAATTCCGTCTGCTCACAGAATGTATGAGTAAACCAATCCCTATTTCTATTTCTGCTGATATCCCAACTTCCAACACATTTGAGATGCTT